GTAGCTGGAACTATAGGCGCATGCTACCATGCCCGGCTAATTTTTTGATTTATTGTAGAGATGAGGTCTCGCCAAGTTGCTCAGGTGGGTCTCGAACCTGCGGGCTTAGGCAATCCACTCACCTCAGCCTCCCAAGGCACGGGATTACAGGCCAAGCCACCGAGCCCAGCTGGGTTTTATCTTTTTTCAGGGATGAAGTTTCACTTTGTTTCCCAGTCTGGACTCAAGTGATCCTCCCACTTAGCCTCCCGAGTAGCTGGGACTACAGGTGCGCATCACTACACCCAGGGTTTTGTTATATTTCCTACATTCTGCAGCTTGCTTTTGCCATTCAACAATACCCTATGCAATGCTTTTAAGCCATCTGGCATAGCTCTAAAACAATGGTTTTTTGAGTCCGGGTCTCACTCTGTTGCCTGAGCTGGAGTGCAGTGGCACGATCACGGCTTACCTCAGCCGCAATCTCCTGGGTTCAGGTGATCCTTACAACGCATTCTCCTGAGTACTGGAACTACAGGTGTGTGCCACCACACCTGGCTCATATTTTTGTAAAGAGAGGTTTTGTTATGTAAAACAATTTTTTTAAATGGCTACATAATATTCACTGTATAAATATCATTGTTTATTCAGTAACTTCCCTACTCAAGGGCATTGATTTTGATCCCAATTTCCTCCCCACTCTGAATAATGGTACAGCAGACATTCAGAAATATATGAATTCCTGTTTACTGATGCATTTTTTTTTAATGGAAATGACTCCCAGAAGTGAGATGTTTGGGTTTGAAGGATCTCATCTCAGCTGAGAGAAAAACTAAGTCTCAAAGGGAGATCTTGGCCACTTAACAGGTAATAAATACCCACTATTATATGGCACTACTCACCTTCCACTTTCAATTCCATTGCTGCCTCTTCTTGGTAAGAATGATCTCGGAAGAAGCAGGTGAAACCTCCCTCATCTGAGAACCTTACATTCCGGATCCTGAGGGTTACCTTTCCCTCACCTATAGTCTCTTTCAATAGCTCCGTCCGGCCCCGATATTCAGGTGCCTGCTCTCCATCTTGATCCTTGCCATTTCGGTAAAGATGAACCACTCTAGAGAAGGGGGGGCGGTACCACCCCACCTCCATGCCTGTAGCATTCTTCCCAGGAGATATGCGACACGGCAATTCCACTTCATCTCCCACCAGAGCCCGGATTGGGTGTCTTGGTCCTATCACTCTGAACTGTCCTGTCCAATACACCAAAGAGAAGAAACTGAGGGTCAGAGGGAAGGAATCTTGATAGATATGTCATGAAAAGGGATGCTTCAAAATGGGGATGGAAGAAAACACTTGATTTTTACATGAAATTCTAGAGCCAGGGAGAAATTTACTTATTTTTCCTGAGGGAGGGGAAAAGGTATCCGACTATACACTTGCTGTGAGTGTCCTGGAGAGAATATTCTAGGAATCATCTTATCTCTGCATTTTTTTTTTTTTTTGAGTGGGAGTCTCACTCTGTCACCCAGACTGGAGTGCAGTGGCCGCTCCCGGCCATTGCAGCCTTGACCTGCTGGGCTCCGGCAATCCTTCCGCCTCAACCTTCCAAGTAGCCGTAATTACAGGCATGCGCTACCACGCCTGGCTGATTTTTTGATTTTTATTGTAGAGATGAGGTCTCCCTGCCCAGGTGGGTCTCCAACCCGTGGGCACAGGCAATCCACTCACCTCAGCCTCCCAAAGGCGCGGGATTACAGGCTGAGCCACCAAGCCCGGCTGGAATCATCTTATCTCAACAGCTGCTGCCCACCTCTTTGCTGACTGCATCCATCTCTGACTCTTCAATTCAGTCTTTCTTTCTTTTTTTTTTTTTTTTTTTTG